GGGGGGGGGGGGGGGGGGGGGGAAATGCCGGGAAGGCGAGAGCAAGCATTGTGATTTAGCGATATAGAGGCGGAGTGCGTAGCGCAGACACGCGCGACGGCCTTGGGCGAGGTGTGCACGTGGCACAAGCCTCACCTTTCATGATGGTCGGGCCTCTCAACCAGAGTTCGCCAGGTACGCCTTCTGTCCCTTGTTCGTGAGCCACATCTTTGCCCTCCTCCGTCACCAATCTAGCCTCTACACCAGCCAACAAGCGACCCGCGCTGCCCTTGTACTTGTGATAATCCTTTGTGGGTATCAGCGTTGCTGATGGCGATGTCTCCTGCGCGCCGTGCACACAGTTTGTGGGGGGAGGTGAGGGAGGTGAGGGGAAGGTGAGCGGGGGCAATGATGAGAATTGGGTGCTAGACGGGCGTCGCGAATGCTGGCTCATGAAGTCGACACGACACAACTCACGGAGAGACCGTAGCCTTGTGTGAGTTTGACTGATATCGATGACCACCGGTCGCAGAAAAAAATGTGAGCATGGCAATCGAACAGCCTTGTATGCGGATGACCGCTCATCAGACTTACTGTGCGGGCACCGTTTCTGCACCTCGTCTCCCAGCTCGGCGCTGAGAGGAGCTGCGCCGCAAAGGACCTTTGCCAGCGTGCTGATATCGTACTTGTCCACCACTGGCGATTTGGCAATGAGGACGAGCATGGGAGGTACGACGAAGCAGCACGTGACCTTGTACGTCTGGATAGCCTTCAAGAATTGCTCCAATTCAAACTTTGGCTGAACCACTGTTCTGATGCCGGCGTAGAGGGCGTGATGAAGAAACTTTGCGAGGCCAAAGATGTGAAACATGGGCAGCACGGCTAGGTGCGTATCGCGAGAGTTGAAGTCCTCGCCAATGCCAATATCGATGGCGATGGTGACGGATGTCATGTTGAGGCTGTGCGTGTATGCATGCCATCATGGGCGACGACGATGAATGGATGTGCGCGCGCGCGAGCGAAGGAGCAGTTTATCAAGATGTGGCGTCTGAGTGAGTCGGAATCGATGGGAGAAATCACGAATGCGAGGCAAAGCTTGACGATGATGCGGTTCTTATCAGCGACACCCCCGCCCCTCTTCTTGGCGGGGTGCCATCCCGCCAGGACCATCTCCGCCACATGCTCGCGCGTCTGGACAGACTCACTGGGTCAACTGTACGCCTTTGGGCATTCCGCTGGTTCCGGAGCTGTAAGCCACAAAGGCTTCGGTGTCCTTGGGATCTTCCACGTGATGCGTTTGCAGTTCCTGCTGGCCCATCAAGCTCCTCACATCCTTTTCGCCATTCTCGCCGCTCGCCAGCTCATCCGTCTCATCCACCAACCACAGCGTCTGATGATCTCCCCTCTTTTCCGGCACTTGGGCCAGCTGCAGACCTTCCCTGGCCACGTGAGCTACGGCGGGATGGGCAAAAACGTACTTTACACCTGCATCTTTTACGGGATGAACAAATTCTTGACCGGAATAGATGGGGTTGAGAGGTACGATGGTGATGCCGGCGCACAGCGCTGCCAGCACGACGATGGGATAAGTGGTGCTGTTGGGAGAGAAGAGGGCGACTCGATCACCTGCTTGAAGATTCAAAACGTTTTTGAATGCCCACGCTAGTCGACGGGAAGATTGGAAGAGATCTGCGCGCGTCAAGCTTTTGCCGTCGCTGGCTCGCACAAAGGCTACGCTGGAGGAGGGAATGTTGTAGGGATTGGTTAGCAGGAAATCGAAAATGTTGCCTGGACGACGCTGGGCGGATGGAGCGTCGCCGTAGATGGACTTGACTACTTGCATGATGGTGCGCGGGTGCGTGTATGTGTGAAGCTTGGCGTATCGAGTGTAGAGATGATGCACGTCGCAAAAGACAAGATAGAATGATGGATCGCTGTGGTGTGACTGTATGCCAGTGGTGGTGGTGGTGGTGGTGGTGGTGGTAGCAGCAGCAGCAGAGTGAAGCGGAACGTCCATCGTTTACCCCGCTTGCTTCATCTCGCTTTTCGTGGATCGAGCGACGTTGATGGCAGTGCCTGCACGCATGGCATGCCGCATGCCTTCTGGCCCATGACCGCCGGTCGCCTAGCTTTACCTGCTGCACCATGCACCCGTCCACACGGCCACCCATCCACACGCCCACCCGCCCAGCTTGAATTATCCTGTCGCAAGCAAAGGACGGCGAATCGCACCTGCGCTCCTTCCCGACTTCGAAGCCATCCATGCATTCGCGAGTCGTGAGTGTGATTCCTTCTTGGTCATCGCCTCCATCCCTACACGCAGGTCAGCTTCATCATCCGCCTGGCAGTAGCAGCAGCAGCAGCAGCAGCACCATCATCATCAGCAGCGCGCACGCAACCTAACGCAGCTAGGACCCACGTCTCGGCACTTCGGCTCGCTTTGATTACCGCGTCCAAAGCCACACATCTCATGCAGCAAGCGTGGTCGAAGTTGCATATCAGCGTCCCACTGAAGTGATGTGACGCGACAAAGTGTCACGTGTACCTCACCGCTCAACAACGAGTTTCGAGTCTTGAGTCAAGAGTTGAGTGAATCAAGGATCAAATGCTGTCCTCTATGCAGGCGCATGCCTTGGCCTCATTCACCATTGGTGGTGAGGTGAGCTGCTGCTTGCTTCATTCTTTTCCACCACACTCCGCGCAGATCAGACCATCAAGCTCAGGGCGAACAACCCGAGCTGTGTCCATCATATTTCTACCTTTGCGTGCTCTCACTCTCAAAAAGCATCCAATTCTTTAGCCCTTCGTGATCCATTCGACAATCACAATGTCGAACAACGAAGCAGGTCCAAGTTCGCCCAATCGACATTCTGTCGACCTGCTAGCCGCACCGCAGGCGCAGGACGACTTGATCGATGCGGGTGCGGATACGCAAGCGGATGCGAGGCCAGTGTTCAAGAAGCGAGGCGGCGGCAAGAGGAATGTGGGTGTCAGAATGCGTGGGATGCAAGATGAAGAGAGAGGAGCAGACGGGAATCAAATGATGGGTGACGATGCGCAACGATCTGAACTTGAGCAGAGCGCAAAGGAAGCCGAGTGAGTGAGGCTCGAGGTTGTAGCATGAGAAAGCTGGGTACGCATACAAGCCTCATGCGCTCCGCCCCGCCCTTTTTCCCCACCAAAGTCTGTCGATTCAAGATCTGTTGGCTTTGCGCGCGCTTGGAAAGAAACCTGCAGGCATTGCTCTGGACAAGCTAAATGTGGGCGAAAAGAAGAAAAAGAAGAAAGCAGAGGGAGGAGCTAAGAAGGCGGAGACAGAGGAAGATAGATGGGCGGAGCAGATGCGTAGGGGCGGATTGGTCGCCAAGGATATGAAGAGTAGCGGAGGAGGTGGCGGTGCAGAAAGGTGCGTGAATGGAACTCGTGCTCTTGCAGGCTTGATCGATTCGGGTGCGCTGGACTGACGCTGAACTGCTGAACACGAAACGTTGCATAGCGATGACGAGGATGCCCAAGGAAATCGAAAGCTGGTAAGATCCAACAAGTTCTCGGGAGAGACTGGAACAGTGGATGTGGACGCGCACATGTTGGCCTACATTGAGAAGGAGATGGCCGCTCGAAAAGCAGCCGCCGCGGCGACATCTGCATCCGAAGCTAGTGATGGTGCTTCTTCGCAGCTACCGACGGATCCTCGAGATGTGGTGCGAGCTTTGAACAACCCGGAAGATGAATTGTACAGGATTGCAGAAAAGTATAGATCGCTGCAGGATCAGGTGTCGAAAGTGCCGGACAAGGAGGAGTCGGAACAGGGACTCAGTGCGGCTTTGCTCAGTAGCGTGCCAGAGGTGGATCTGGGTATGGAGTGAGTCTCGAAGTTGCTTAGAGGACGTTGATCGTGCTTTGCCGATGAGCAGTGCAATGCTCACCCCTTCTGATCACGCTCAGTAATCGACTCAAGAATATCGCGGATACGGAACAAGCTAAGCGGGCGATGAATGAGGCGAGAGCCAATCGAGGCGCTCGAAGAGAAGAAGACGAGCTGCTTGCTGCATCACGTTGTAAGTTTCCGTCGAAGCTCGGCCACGATCCTAAATCCGTGTCTTTTGCTCCATCGAGGCATATCCTAACATTCAGCATGTTGCTCATGCACGAATGCGACCCCCCCGCCTCAGTCTTTAGACCTAAACAGCATGCCCAGTCGGATGCGGACGCTATGCGAGCTGCAAAGCAAGATGCGGAAGTACGTAGAGGAGGAGCTGCAATCTTTCCAGAGGGACACATCAGCGCGCCTGGCGCTTCCGCTCCCGAACGAAGAGGAGATGGCCAGAAGAGGAGAGAATTGGCTAGCGATCAGCTCGTCATGGAACGTTTCAAGGTGAATGCTCTTTTTCTTTTCTTTGCTTTTCTGGGGGCGGGGGTTGTTTCTTCTTGGCCTTTTGCTTTCTGCTTTTGTGCGAGCGTTTCTTCTGGGCTTTTAGACTGAACAGTCGCGCCTTGACCTTCTTTTTTGCCTCTCTTTCGATCAGAAACGACAAAGAAATCAGCTCAAACGATGAAAGAAAAAATATTCAAGTGTGGCATCGTTACACGACGTGCAGAATGTGATTGCAATGACAAGCAGAGAGATGGTATGCGTGACTGGCGATGCGGGGAGGGGAGCAGCGGAGCTTCCACCTCAGAACACCTCGACGTGAAAGACGTATCTGGTATAGGTGCCTTTGGCCCTATTCTCGATGTTGAGCTCGTGTACTCGATCGGCAATCTGTCGACCGATGACAGGCGGCCCGCAAAAGAAGACGCCGACTTTTCTATTCCTCTTGTCCGTGCCTGCTGGCCAAGCCTCGTTGCCAGCTTTGCAGAGATCCTCATCGAACTGATCCAAAATTCCCCCTTGACCCAATTCCGGTCTGCCAAACTCTGATCTGCACCTTAGGCCTGTCAGTGCCGAGTATGGGTGAGATTTCGTGCGATGTCTATCCAAGAGCGCTCGAAAGACGAGGGTGGAGAGGGATTTGCGCTTGGCTGTGATGTGGGGATGAATGTTCAATTCCAACTCTCCGCTCGTGCGCGTCTCGTCTGCCAATCTGGAACAACGGTTGAGCAGTGTGGAAAGCCAAAGCAACTGATCCTTGTCCCTGACGATCCAGTGAAAGTCTACCCTTCGATCAGGACCACTTTTTTGGCCTTCCTGAGCTTGATGGTGCGTCGAGGCGCGGGAGAGCGCCATTCCTTGAGCTTGAGCGGACAAACCCCTTTCGCCTTGCCCAAATTGTCGCTCGCTCCCGCTCCTAGAGTTTGGTCGACTCAAGCGGCTCGGAATTCTGCTCATGCTTCGCGAGATGCTCTGAAAGCTGCTTCGACGTCGGCTCAGCTGCCACGGATCGCCTTTGCTCGTCAACTCTTGTTCCAAGTGCAAAAGAATGGCGGAAAAGGGAGTCACGCCAATTCCTGCACCTATGATGATCGACTTTTGATACGTATAGAAACGTTGCGCAGGAGCTCCGAATGGTCTGAGATGCCAGGACAGTGATGGTCACCGTTAGCAACCAGCAGCGCCAAGTGTGCGTGACCAAAAAAAAATCAAAAAAAAAAAAATCACTTGTTCACTCACCCATCCAAGCCTACGCTGATATCCACCCCGTCTTTGGGTTCACGCTCTCCAGCTTCTGCTGCGATTTTGTCTGCGAGATCTGCCAAAGCGCTGGTCCAGCTTCCTTCAAGCTTAATGTGAACTTGCAACTTGTCCTTGACCACACCAGAAATAGTAAAAGGGTGCCACTGCCATCTGGAAACGGCAGGGACCTGCAGCATGATGTACTGACCGGGCTGATAGTTCCAGTCCTTGCCGTTCGTCTTGGACATTGTCACCGAGACCGTGCCTTCGTCTACTCGAGTGAGTCGAGCGGGGATTGGAATGAAGCCTCTGATTAAGCGTAATGACCTCTCGAAGAGAACCAACAGCACGGGAAAGACGAGCCAATAACCTAGCATTGGAGCTTGCAGCAGTCTAGCAGTACCGTGAGCAGCCAGAAGGCCAAACATGGGAAACATGAGCAAATGAGCTAGCTGGAAAAGCTCAAAGGTGCGCTTGCGCACAGCCGGCATGCTCATCAAAGCGATGAGCCAGAAGATACCAAAGCTCGTCAACCCCGTCCATCCCGGCAAGCTCCTGACGTAATCGATGTAGCGACGTCTTTCGTCTCCCAGATAGGTCTGTAGCGCATCCTGCGCTTCTAAATTTCTCCTCGAGCCGAAAATGAAGGAGCCTGTGAGATGCCCGATGGCGTGCAAAGTAGCGAGTGAGAGCGAAAGGATCGACATGTAGATGTGGAAAGCTTGGTGAAGATCCGAGTCGATGAAGCGAGAAAGCCAGTAGAATTGCCGCAAGAGTGTCAAGAGCCAGCGAGACATGCTTAGAATCATGAAGAATAGGGAAGGGTAGAGAGCTCCTGCGGACGTCTTCGCCATGATGACTCCCCAACCCTGATTGAGCATCTCGTGGTTAGCCGTGGACAGGGTGGGGGCACCGCGGTGACCTCGCATACTCACAAGCGCAGCTCTAGCTTCGGCGTTGGTCACATATTCGAGGCATTGCCATAAGCCAAAGGCGATCAGACATAGAGTGACGAAAGCCAAGAAGGCGTAACGAGGACCTTCTACGCTCCAATGCGCCCTCAGACTTCTGGCCCAGCTTAGCCGCCTGGACCATTCCTGATCTTTCCTCATCTCTTCGGCCTCGTCTGTGTGTTCTTGAGACGGCAAGTCCCATGTGCTGACCAGCTTCTTGAAGTCCGCTTTGCTCACGCGATCTGCGTCTCTGGGCAAGAGCGAGTAGAGAAAGTCGTGCAGATCATTGCGATCTGCTTGTGCTCGCTTCTCTTGGTCTGACGACACGACGGTCTTGCCTCCACTGCCTGTGCCTGCATTGTCGACCTTGGTCTGCTCGCTTTCCGTTCTCGAAGGAGATGGAGCGGACTTTGTCTTGGCATGGCTTGCTCTGCCCAGTCGATTGGGATGTGTCAGGTGATGCTCTTTGGGTGCGGGTACCAGCTCGTCGTGAACTCTGAGAAATTGCGTTTCGAGCTCTTGAAAGGTGACGTAGCCATCCTTGGAGTGATCCAGCTCGTCAAACAGCTTCTCCAGCTCATCGTCTGAGAGCGGTCTCTTGGAAGGGTCCGACATTTGATTGTGACTTTCCCTTTACCCTTGAACTTTCGCAGGCGCGACTTGTGAGGGTGCGAGGGAGGAGGAGCAGTCCGAGTGCGAGTGCGGGTGGGGCCCTTTCTTGAGGCGGGATGGAGTAGCGCGAGCTTTCATAGGCTTATATAAGAGTCGCGATCGGGCAACTTCTTGTGGACACAGACCACACCAGCATCGCAACTTTAATTCGAATCACGAATGCGACTGCGTGCATGGCATGGCATGGCGGAAGCTATAGCTGCTGATTGATATGCTGTTAGCGTCTCGCAGACGGACGTAAGTGGCTTGAGATTAGATCCTTTTCTTGGCGGTCGACAAATGTCCGCCAAGCGTGTATGTATGCTCCCCTCCGCATGTGTGTCCGTGCACATCCGTGTCGGCAAGCAAGGCCTACAGCTTCGTCATTTGTCAGCGATGACTGCTTCAGCAGACATTGTGATTCCACCTCCTGAAGCAGGTCGGAGCAAGCGAGGTGGTCAAGAATGCCGCCGCCTCTGTGGTGCGCTGCGTTTGCTGACACCTTACTCATACTCTCGAAGCAAACGTGGCAGCAGCTGCAGTCGTGAGTGCTGCTGCATGCGTTAGTGTGCCACAAAACAGGCTCGGCTATATGGAGCCATGAGCAAGAGTGATTATATGACTGCTGGATGGCGATACCCGTGTGTGGCTTGCAGCAGCTTCCATGCATGCCAAGCATTCATGCAATTGCTCGTGACGGTGTGACGTGAAGCAACGCATGCGTACTGATCCAGCAATCACGTGAATCGTGGTTTGTGAATCAAGAATGAGGTGAGGTGAGGTGAGGTGAGCAACGGTCCTGCATACTCATGACTATAGATCTGACTGATACGCATGCGTACAGACGCGCTGCCCAAGCAAGCGCCTTGAGGTGCAGGCTTGCTGCATTCACAATTGCATGTACCGTAAACCGATCGCAGTCACGTTTGCCAAAGCCTAACACGTGATCTTCATAGAGGTCTCCTCGCGTTGCATGGGACAGGGACGCTAGCCCTCGATTACAGTAGTTGCGATGCGTCGTACACTCCCACGATTGTGCCCAACATAGGCTACACACATCAATATTTTGATCCAAACTTCCACCTCGTGTGGTCCCGTTCAGCGTCGGCAATCTCGCGTTGGAATGCATCCATTCGACACCGACTTTCCTCGGGCTACCTTCACTTTGACCAGCACATAGCGGCTTGCTTCAACCCGCAAGACTTCGAATGGCCTTCGCGCAACCCCGGCGGCCCGAACACCCTACTTCACGCATCCGCGCGCGCCCCTCATTCACCACACACGCACCTTGCAGACTGGACCGACGGACACGAGTGCTTACCGTACCCACCGTAAATCGTGCTCCCTATGAGCTCCTCGAGCGCGCAGCCGGCTTCGGCCACGCGATCAAAGAAAGGGGATGCTCCAACTGAGCCAACAGAGACAAAGTCAAGTGAGTAGGATGACAATTGCACCACAAACAGGCACGTCTTAGCTGAGCAAGTGTACGCTCTTGAATTACTTGTAGTTGTCTTTGAATGGGTGAGCTTGTCTTGTTGCGAAGAAGAGACCTCGACTACCGCCTCGCTGACTGACTTTCGCCACCTCCCAGCCGCTGTTTGGGCTCAAGCAGATGTTTGACGCGAGCAAAGCCGAGACAAAGTCCAAGGTGGTCAAGTCCGCGCCTTTCGGAGGAGGTCGGTGGACAGTTTTGTTCTATGCTCAAAGCGGCTTGGATCAAGTGAGTGCAAGTCTTTCGCCTGCGACGCCTCCGTATGCCCGCATACAGTCACTGACCAATGAAGCCGGTGACTAAAAGTGCTGTGCTGTCTACCTCAATGCAGAGCCTCTACCTCACGAGCGCGTTAGCCCTCTAGCAGCCAGTGCATCGGCAGCTTTGGCAGAGAGCAGCATCAATGGGAATAACTATAGAGATGGAAGCAGTGCATCGAGAAACAAGAACAAGATCGCCCATGAAACGGACGAAAAGTGGATCCGTCAGGGCGTGTACAAGTTCACATTCGAGATGACCTCATTGGACAGATCAGTCAAGCTGGGGACCAAAGGTACGACACCTGGCGCATTGCTCTTTGGCAGGCGGCTCTAGAATTGACCCGAGCCTTTGGTCACCTCTTTTCGTGCAGAGGCGCATGATCATGCCTTCTCACACAAGACGAGTAATTGGGGGTAAGCGTCTGTCCAGTGATTCGAAAGCGGTGTTTGGCAGACAGAGCTGAACTGAGACTATGCGTCCACCCCCCGCCCTCCACAGCTGGGCACAATTTGCAAAGCGAGATGCCGTATACTATACCTGCCCAGCGGTCAAGCAGACAGATGGTGTCCTCATTTCTGTGACGGTGACGGACAGCGCTCAGCGACCTTCAGCACGCGCACCAGAGAAGCATCATGTACCTCCCGTACTCATCTCGGCGATGGGATCTCTGCTTGACGACCCAGAGCACAGGTAGGTTTTGTGTCGTTGCTCTGCTCCATTCTCAGGCGCTGACTTTGCTTGCCGTCGACACTAAGCGACGTCGTCTTTCACTTACTTCAGCCTCCTTCACGAAATGGCCACAATGTACCTCCCAAAAAGATTTACGCGATCAAGAAGGTGCTCGCGCTCCGTAGCGAGTACTTTCGCGACATGTTCGAAAGTGGCTTCATAGAGGGAGAGACGGCCGAAGTCTCGGATGAAAGCGACGAGGAAATGGATCTGACGGTTGAGATTTCCCATGCTCCCATAGCAGCGGATACCACTGCCCCACCTCAAAGAGATGCTAGGTCAGCTTTGCAGCAAGCGAGTGGCTCTCGTCGTGGTGCGCGCCCTTCGGCATGCGAGTACGACGCAGCAACAGCCTTTTCCTTGCAAGAGGACAACTCGAACGAAGCGGACGAGTCGTTCAAACGTGGTCCAGACGTGCTCCTCGAGGATTCGGATGAGGATATGGATGACGAGGAGGATCCTTGGGGGTCTCGAGCAGACTCGCCTACTTCGAGCGCGGGTACCGCTGCAGCCGAGGACTCTCGCGCCGTCGGCAGCGAAGACGAAAACACGGACGAAGAGAACGGCTTTGAGGAAGACGACATTGTCAGTGTCGCTACTCGCACCCCTCTACAGGCCTGTGAAGGCAGCGGCGTGGGACTCAACGCATCTCAGGATGCCGCGAAAGATGCCGTCGACCATTCGGACGACGCAGAGGAGCCCGAGTCAGGACACTTCGCAGACCTTGCAGCCTCCGAGCGTGGACGAGAGCAGCATGATAGCCAAGTACAGAATCCCGGACGCTCTCACGTGCCTAGTCGGACATCTTCAGCGCGTGGTTCCCCTCGGCCGTCACGCAAGGGCGTCACTAGTGACAGAAAGGAGTCCGTCAACGGCGTCACGTCGCCCCGTTCGAAGCGCCGTGCTTGTGCCAAGGCGCCAGCTCTGAATGGTCGTAAACGCCGTAAAGTGGTGAGTGAGAGCCCGGCAGGCATGTACGTGGCTTTGAGAGCTCATAAGCACGGTCAAATATCGCGTCCTTCAATCCAGGTCGTCGGAGACTCGGCGTATTCCACCTTTAAAGCGCTGCTGTTCTTTTTGTACACAGATGCTGTTGAATTTGCCCCTCTCACCTCTTCCTTCCTCGTTGCTGAGGTATCAGACGACACGTCTACCGACGGCACCCTTGTTCGCCCCGCAAGCTCTCTGTTCTTGCAAGAGATGAACCGCGCTCATCAGAGGTGAGTCTAGGGTCTCCAGATTTGCAACACGTAACGATCATCATGCTGACAACGCCTGGAGTGGCGGGTCAAGACGCCAAGCCGTGATCGACACGTACTGCGCCGAGCACCCCGACAAGCCCGCTCCTTGCTCTGCCAAAGCGATGTACAAGCTTGCTGACAAGCTCCAGCTTCCAGAGCTCAAGAAACGCGCCGAAACTCACATAGCCAAAAGCCTCACTACGCAGGTCAGTGGCGCGTCTCCTGCCTCGTGCTTGGCATGCTTGCTGATTGCTGGTGCTCTACCGCAGAACATCGTATGGGAAGCATTTTCTGGTTTCAATACTCGCTATCCTGATATCATGCACGTGAGTGTCGATGCGCTCCGCTTATCGGTGGATCCCGTGGCTCACCCAAGCATCACCTTCGGCAGATGGAGATTGACTTCTTGCTGAAGCACTGGAGCAGCGTCAAGAAGTCTACCGTCATGAAGACCATCTTTGCGCGCCACACCGCTCATCCCGGTCTCGCTTTTGGTGAGCTGACAGCGCTTCTCTGCTGCGCACACCAATCGAGGGTCAATGCTGACCATATTTCGGCCACATTGACAGTCTGGCCATTGGTCCTAGAGCACCTCAGCGTCAGCCACGATGAAGATGCGGAAGACAAACAAGGCCACGTCGCTTGAAGCAACGACGTTGCGCGTGACTTTTGAGCACTCATCGTCAGCCCGGCGCGCCGAGCGCACCTTCTTCATCCTCGTGCATGCGGCAAGCTGGTCAGGTTCTCGTGTGTCTTCGAATCGCACTGGCACAAGCACCTGTAAAGCGGAGCTCGACTCTCGTACTGATCCTTGAATCTTACAATGGCAACTACCCACACGCACAATACTGTACTCTTGACCCGCGTGCCAACCAGCCCAACCGCATGACTCGGGCGCGGTAGCTAGCACGCGAGATTCGTAACCACAATGTAATACTTTAGAGCAGTGCCCAGATACGACGACTGCTTGAACAGCGCGAAGAGCAAGTGCGGCTGCAGGGATGCATTGGTTTTGGGGCTGATGAAGATGACATTAGACATGAGGAGCAACGAGGGGCAGGGTGGGGCGCGATGCGACAAAAGGAGATGGGCGCAAGCTGCTAAGGCTAGTCGTCCGCTAGTCGTCCTCGTCGCTATCGCTCTCTGTCGCAGGTTCGCTTCCCGATCCAGAGTCTTCTTCCGAGTCTCCAAATTCGCTACCATCATCGTCGTCGGAGCTAGATTGGTAAATCTCCGCATCCGAAACCTCTTTTGAAAAGTCCGAGCCGCTTTGAGATTCGCTCCCATCCGAGCCATCATCTCCATCTTGCAAGAAGGACCAACCTCCATCTACAAAGAAATCGTACGGCGATTCCCGCACAGTCTTCATGATTTGTCCCCAATTCAAATTGACCATGCCTTCGGTGACGACCAGATCGACAGAGTCTAGCCATTCCTTGACCGAATCTAGACTTGCCATGGGCACGCTGCGAATGATCATAGGCGCTTGAGTAAAGTCTTTGAAGACGAACGCCATGTCGAATGAAGATGACGTGGATCCGCTCAGTGTCACTCTTTCCAAGTGCACGATTTCCACTTCCGAGAGCTGCGGAAATGGGTTTGTGCAAGTGCGTGTTAGCAACGCTGCAATGAGGACAGCGGCGACGTCGCATTCCTCTACTTACGGTGATGACGGTGAATGGTGGGTCGGTCAGGTGAATCAGACAATCCGTTGTGGGTTGGAGCAACACGTTGCTTCGGTGGCCCACACCATTGAAGCCAAGTTCTCTGAAGGGCGTGTCAATGCTGAGTCTACCTTCGCTGGCATCCGCAATCTTCTGAGCGAAAGACTTGAACTCTTTGTTGAGATGATGCCTTCTTCTCCTCTCTTCTTGTTCCAACTCGATCTCATCTTCGTCACCACCTCTGCCCTTTCGCTTTCGCGTGCCGGTCTCGTCGAAATTGACGTCTGATGCTTCGCGGTAAAATTGCACATCCTGGGCGATGAACAGAGGCGAGGCGATCAGCAAGACGAGTCGTGTAGAGAGGCCCTCGAACGTACCAGACTCACCTTGGTCTTCTTCTTGCCCACAATGATTGGAGCTTTCAGATGAATATGCACCAGGACGATGAGTTCCTTTTCGCAAGGCTGAAAGAAGAGGTGCTTCATGTTGTTGAACAGAACATCTGTGGCGGGCAAGAAGAATGTCCCGTCAGTGGCCGAGATCATTTCATGCTCGCTGGCAAATCAGCATCCACCACTCACCAATTTGCAAATTGTTCCTCGCCGTGAAGCGCAAGCCATTTTGGTGAATCTCGACATCTCCAGGCAGACGCTTGCCCTCAAGAGCGGGTCGAGGGAAGACGTCGCGCAAGGCGGCTGTTCGGGTCTCTGCATGTTTCAAAAACGAAAATCGACTTAGCATTCGTTGGGGGGCGCAAGGATTCGAGGGCTACGCAGCTCAACACTTACTGCTCAAAATCAGCTTGTCTTGCTCCACCACATCTGCCATTTCCTTCTTCTCCGTCTCCTTCTTGGTCTGAGCTTTTCTCAAGTCTGATATCTCGTGGAAGAGCTCGGTAAAGTGATGGGCGTTGTCCGACCTGAACGACATGCTCCTGATAAAGGTAGCGTCCGGATCTTCGAATGGCACATCTTCCTTTTTGCCCACAATTTGTCCGGGTGTGACAAAATTGAAGCGGAGATACGTGTAGTCTCCCTCTTCGGATTTGGACACGTTCTTGATCGTATTGATGTGATAGGGCACCGCGTAGCCGTAGATGGGCAGAAAGACCGTCTGCGCTCGCTGATCCACAAAAATCTATCGACCGCATGCAAGCACGTCAGGAATCAAAATCGTCGATTGCGTTGCAAAAGAAGCAGTACGCCAAACATATCAAACTCACCCTGAGATCTTTCGTCTTTGCTGGAAAGTTCCAATCGCGCTTGTAGGATTCGAACTTTTTGAAAGTCTTTCCAGTGTCCCCGTCGGCGCCGCCCGCATCCTCCGAATACTTGGCCAGGCCATCTTCCTGAAGCTGTTCCGCCAATTCTCTCTGGTGCTCCTTGATCTTGTTAGCAGTGCTAGCATCCAGCTCATTGGTTCTTCCTTTGCTTCTCAAAACTTTGCCTCCAGCCGTCACGTTTTGAGGCTGTTTCTTGGGGGACGACCCATTAGAATTGCCCGACTTGCTTTTGCTCTTTTCCTCTTCCTCGTCCTCTTCATCCTGGTAGAAGACGCAATCGGCTGCTGATCGAAGCCTGTCTGTCAAAATAGTAGCCGGAGCATCGCCCGAGTTGATGCGAATGGTATCAATGAGCAGCAAAGAGTAGGTCTGGCCGTCGTGATTGGGATCGTCCAGCTTGTCCAGACCAAGAGAGACGTTGAAAGTCGAATCTTTAGGAATCTGCCTCGTGTTCTTGGCATTGAGATTGTACACAGGGTCCCTGAATTCGATACCAATGGCAAAACCAATGCTCTTTACAAAGTGACCAGCCAGGTTTGCGTTTTTGCTGCTGATGAACTTGACAGCAGCGTCATAGACGTCTTTGCAGGTTGCACCCGCCTTCAAGTGCTTCTCCACCAGCTCCGTCTGCAGCTCCAACAAGTGGGTCCAATGCTTCAACTGAGACTTGTGGGGATCCACCAACCAACTCCTCCCAACATTTGCGCAGTAGCTCTTGTACTTCATGCCCAAGCTGGCTAGGATGACGCCTCCTCCGTTCGCGCCTTGAAGGGGTTTATCGGTAGATTCTGCAGCAGTTCGCAGATCATACTCTCCGCCAGACTGCACGATGGGCGTGTAGCACCAGTCTGCCAATTCCATATCCACCCCGTCCAATCCACGAATCTTTTTCCAGAATGCCGCATTGTCGCTCTCCAACTGAGCCTCCACCTTATCGGCCAGCCTGGAATGAGTCACTCTTTTCTCCTCGTCCAGAATGCCGCTCATCTCCTCGACAAAGTACTTTGACATGACGCCACTGCTCAGCTTGGCAGCTGTGCGGATTGTCCTCTTCAAACGGTGCGCCGCAGGCAATTCAGCGTGGGAGAGCAGCATGCAAGGATTGACTCGCACCACTCACCAGCTCTTCCTCATCCTTCTGCACAAAAGCAGACGCTAGTGGAACAGCAACATCCAGCAGCTCCACGTCCTGCGCCGCAGTCTCCCTCTCCACAACCCTGTTCCACTCCTCTGCCACCTTTCCCTGAGGCTTGTCCTTGATGAGGGTGCCGATGGATTTCTGGTCACATGGCACAAGCACTGATCCGGTCAGCGCGAGCCAGAAAAGCGCTGTTCTGCGAGCGTCTTGCGCACTCACCCCGTTGCCCTTGAGACGAGCCATGATGTCTTCCCAGATCTTGGCATTCTGCGAATCATCTTTTGTCCTCTTGAATACCGTCACGTTGACGGATGAGGAGCCCAAGTTCTCCAAGTACTTGGCTGTGCAAAGGGAGCGTAGGTCATGAGCATACGCCTCTTTGGAAGGGAGTCAATGTCTGTGGCGTGTGACCCACTCTTGCTCGCGGAGGTGGCGAATATGATGCCCTTCTGATCGAAGGCCACCATTGTCTGAGGAAATTCGTAGCCGAGCAGCCAAGTCTTTGGAAAGGAGCAAGACGTGAAGATAGCGGCGAAGCGCCGAGATGAGCGAGTGATGTGATGTGCCGCACAATCGCTTTCACTGCTACCGATCTGCTCACCACCAGCGCCGTCGTCTTGCTGTATGCCACTTGCTCATCAGCAGCGCCCATGACGATAGCCACCGAGCCTACATCTTTGAAGGATTCATCCTGCGACGCTCCTCCCTTCGCGTTGCAGAGTGCAGAAGAGGGGTGATTGTGAGCGCACGGGTCCAAGCAATGCACACCATCTCTTTCCTTTCGTCCATCTGACTCACTTTGAATCTGTTTAGCAGCTGGGATGCTCGCCTAGTAAAGGCGGCCTTGTCGATCTCAACCGCTTCCGACATGGCGGGGGCAAGGCAGCTCGCCGGATGCTCGACTGAGCCGTGGATCGATGCAAAGAGGACGCGTGCCTCTGGGATCTCTGCGCTACAAGCTTGTAACAGAGACGCGCAAGGGGCAAAAGTGTGGCACTTGCTGAGCTGGGAGTTGGCTGCGTCGGCTGAGGTGAGGATACCAATCGAAGGTCATCGAGCGTGGTGTGGTGCTCTCTCTCACCCACACACGTCGTCTTCGTGCGTTCGTGAATGTGACAATCCTGTGACGTGCATCGCGACTTCTCACCCAAAGACGCGCTCATCAACGCGTGCAGGCGCGAGCGCGCGCGCGACTCAGTTGCGCACCCCTTTTCTCGCGCGAGAGAAAGTGAGCAGAAAAGCTAGCCGCAAAGGTGCCTGTCACGTGACGTGGGACTGTCGCGCTCTTTTTGCGAAGATGAGATGAAAGCAAGTGAATGATGAGCGGGCTCGCGACCAAGAGCGGAATGACGAGAGTGACGGCTTTGCTTGACAGTCGTGAGTGTCGCAAGTTGCAGCCACCGCCCGTCATCCTCCTCGTCTTCACTCGTGCCACCCGACCAGCGCATTCAAGATTCTTTCAGCAGTCTCACCACACCTCTTCGGACGCTTGAGTGGTTGGCTGAGGCACGACCGCACACCAGGGCAGCGTCACTCAACGGGCCAGCCGCGTGCAAGCGAGTGGAGAGTCGCATTGCCTGCCTTGCACCATCGTCATCTCTACCATGGCTTCTGCTTCTCGCAGAGCAGTGTCTTGCTGCTTAGGCCAAGGCCCAACGTGGCAAGTGCGAAGTGGTAGCTCAACCCTGCGTCTTGCGCGTCCATCACCCAGCTGCACCGCTTCCTCATCCCTCCGTTCCTTGCGCACCACAGCCAAATGCAGCGCGGAGAGCAAGGACAAGGACCAACAAAAGGAGGGAAAGGACAAAGACTCGAAGGACAAAGACTCGAAGGACAAGGTTTCCAATAGAGACGAAGCTCAGAGGTTGATCGATGCTAGTAGAGCGGATACGGAGTTGACGCCAGGAGCAGCACCTCCCGTACGACTACCTCCCCTCGCACGAACAGATCCCGAAACGTATGCTGCTCTTAGACCCGTTCCTCTGAGCGCTGTTGCTGCTCTGGGAGCGCGTTTGCAGCTCCTACCTTCTACGCTGGACTTCGAAACGAGACGACGACGCATCAATTTGATACTTCAAGCGTGCACTCATCCTTCTTTTGTGGACCTTCAGAGGAGAACTTTGCGAGAGAAGACACCACAGGAGGAAGAGTTGCAGCTTGATAATAGGGTGGGCATGGGCAAAGGATTGATGAGGCCTTTGAAAGGAGATGCAGCGCTGGAAGATGCTCAGTACCTCCTCCCGCCTGCGCAAAAGGACAATCTTGAACTGTCCATCCTTGGCAACCATCTGCTCGGTCTGCTCAGCAGCGAGGTCTTCCATCTGCGCTATCCACATCTGCCTGTGAGGGCGCTCAAGGCAGCAGTGGGTGCTTATGTGGGCCCAAACACCTTGTCCGACTTTGGCGGGCAATTGGGCATCAGCAGTGCGGAATTGCTGAAGTGGGACAGGGTTGGCCTGAAGAGATTAAAGCTGCAGGAAATGCAACCGGGAACGCAAGCGGTGGACAGGAATCCTCGCAGGAGTCGCAGGGATGCGATTGATGCGCAAAAGGGCATTTCGACTCAGGATGTGCTTGTGCAAGCTACACGTGCTTTGATGGCCGTCGTGTTCCAAGAGATGGTGAGTCTTGCAACCTTTCAATGGAGCATAGCGCTCCGCATACGATATCCTCGCGTCGCCTGCTGATCTCATTGCCCCCTGTCGTGCTTCGCAATATGCAGGGTCTTCCCCATCTTCGACACCTAGTCCAAACTCAGTTGCTTACGCGCTCCCTGCCCATGTCGACTTTTCTCAAGTTTCGGGATCCCAAACGATTGCTGAGCATGACGTGCTCCAAATATGACTTGGAAGCTCCGGTATCCAGATTGATCGCCGAGACTGGAAGGTTGAGCCAGACGCCGGTCTTCATCGTGGGTATTTGGAGCGGAGAGACCAAGCTGGGAGAGGGAACGGGTAGCGCTATCAGGATGGCCGAGTTCAGAGTGAGTGAAGGCCAATGCTACAGGCAATGGACATTTGGCGCACTCCCATGAGCGCTGTTTCTGACGCTTTACATTCACAGGCGGCGGAGGATGCGCTCCGAAGACTATACCTTGCTCAGCCATCTAGCAAACCCGACTTGCCTTCTCGCACGCTGGACTCGCATTTCCCATCCGCCAAGCTACCTCCTTCGGTGTGGGAAGACGTGCAAGACGTGGCGAGCTCGAGCGATAGACCTTTTGTTCCTTCCAGGATCGGCAGGAGCGAGATCGTGTACGGGCAGAAAGCGTAAAGGTGACAATGCTGGGCACGTTGCGAGACTTGTGCTGGAGAGATTGGGCGGACATTGAACAGTACATGCGTGAATGGAATCAAGGCGTCGTGCAATATGCAATCAATCACACATTTAATCGGCACCAATCCTAGGCGTCTTGATTTGATTTGTGATTTCTGTTATACCCCCTGGAGTCTCTTTCAGAAAGTGCGTATTGCCTCCACATCCGCACCGCATGAACTCCTTTCTTATCAAGCATTTTCAGCAGCAGCAGCAGCAGCAGCAGCCTCTTTCTCCTGCTCCTTCCGCAAGCGTCGCTCTTCCCTCTTGGCCAAAGCAGCCTCGTCCATCAGGTGACTTTCTGCGTTGCCCATTCCAGCCTCCATCTTCAACCTCTTCAAATTGGACCTGTGCTGTTTAGATCCCAAATGTTTCGTCCACTCTTCCACCCTAAATCTGCGGGGTGCGGACAAATCGACGGTACACACCGAACACTCCCGAAGCTCGTTGCGGTCCATGGGATTTTGGTGGACACGAGCTGAGGCGGCCGAAGGTCCAGAGGGCGAGATTTCTAGTGGTGGCAGTTGCGTCGCTGCCGCACTACTGAGACTCCTCGGTTCTGGCAGCTTCTCGTCTAGAAGAAATGCTGTGAATTGCGCTGGCGAGAATGAGTTGATCGACCCACAAGCCAAGGTAGGGCAAGCAGCACCACTCACCATTGACAAGCTCTATAGCCGGATCTCGCACACTCTCCTTCCATCGAGACAAGTCTGAGCAACGGCGAAACGAGATCAGGATTCCAAGTCTTATGTGGCTAGCCATGACTGCGACTCACCCGAAGCGTCGAGCAGATAGAGCTCCACGTCGCACGGCTCATCGCTTCCCTTTGCTTGCTGTAGCTTTCGATGAGCAATCCTAGCTTTCTGTAGCTCGGGAGCCAGCTTGTTGCGTATCCAGGCCGTCTGACTCTTGGCGTACTGTCGAGTACCTATCTGCATCCTCTCGATAGCGTGGGCAAAAAGGCGTTCGGCTTCTTTGTCCTTCGACGACACACTCTCGCAGTGCGATAGATAGTCGGCAAATTCTTTGTAGCCTGTTGTCGCGTGTGCCGAGAGACGCCTAAGTTTAGCATGCGAATACAGTGCGTGCCATCTATACTCACCAATGGCTTGGTATATACCGCAAGTGTAGTCGGTATCCATTTCTGTTGCCCCGGCTTGTGCCGATTGCACAGCGGCTATGCGTCTCAGGCTCTGTATCTCATCGAGAAGGCCACCCTGACGAAAGGCGTCGGAAGGCTCAGCACATGGTGCGCTCGCTAGTGTCAAGTCATTCCAACTCACCTCGACCATCTTGTCTACGCGTTTTGCAAGACGCTCCCTGAGCTCTTCGGGTTCACTCCATACCCAAAGTATGAGCTTGCGGCTTTTTGCTGCTGCACTCGGCTCTGAGCATTGTTCCGGTCGATTAACTGAGCTTGGCTCGGCGGCAGCCAGCGAGGTGACTACAGAAGACCTGTCCATATTCTCTTGATCACGGATCCAATCGCTGTGCCGCTTGCCCGTTTCCATCAACACTCGTAGAGACCTCGATACTTTGCGATGATCGTTCCAGTGCCATCTTCGCGCCATGTCTGGATCCAAGGCATCCAACAACTGCCAGAACGCTACGCGAGGGTAAGGTGGCAAGCGACCACCAGGTTTGACTGCTGCCAAGGCATCCCAGACTCGTCGTTGGCCCTCGTCCAGCTTTGCAAGGATCTCGTCGAGGTCAGTTTGGGCAGTGTGCGATAATGCAAGTGGTCTTTCATCCTCCGCTGCTCGCCAATCGTCGCTTTCTCTTTGAAGGGACACGAGACGACCCGGGAAAAGCAGGTGCTGCACATAGTATGTCGTGCCACCTGCCACGATCGCAATCTTGTTTCGTTCGCTGAGATCTTGTATCTACAATGGGTATACTTGAAGCTAAGCTAGAGATGTGATATATATTGCTGGTCTGCTCACTCACAATTGCATTCGCCTCCTTAACAAATTCGCCGATCGTGTATTGTTGGCCGGGTTTGAGGAAATTCATGAGATGATGCTTGACCCCTGCCATTTCGTCCAACGTGGCCTTATTCGTTATGACATCCAGGCCGCAGTACATTTGCATGCTGTCTGAAGAGATGACTTCGGCTCCCGCTGCACGGCCTTCTTGCTCGACTTCGGCGCGGAGGGCAACTTCCCGCGCTAGTTCTACTGCAAGCTGAGATTTACCGGTACCCGTTGAGCCGATCACCGCGACAATTTTCCCACTTGCAGCGCACTTGGTACTTTCGTCTCGATTCTTGCCATTGTGTGTACTGGCAGGCGCGGCTTTCGGCCTGCCCCTGCTTGAAGGAGATGCGCCCTGCGATTCAGAGGGCACATCTCGAGAACGATAGTATCGATTACGGAATTCCTTTGCGTCCGCGTCTGCGCGTATACGACCTCCAGTTGAGTTCAGAGCCTCTTCTCTCTTACCTGCCTTCTTATGCGCTCTAGGCGGCTCTGGGAATTCAAGCCTGCCATCAAAAGAGCCGGCAGCGTTGCCCAAGCGCTGAGCTATCGGCAGGAGCTCCATCGTCACAAGTCTTCTGCCCCATCTTCCAAAGTCTTGCATGCTGTGAGCCACCAGTCGAAATGCCGGATGGGCTGGCAAAGATACAGACTGGTCATTCTTGCCGTCTTCCGAGAATATGGTGGGCAGCCAAAATACCAGTCTGCCTCCTTCGATAAGCAGCTTGGAAGATGTCTCAATTAGATCCTCTATCAGCTCGTCGAGGTGATACGGCTTGGATGGTGGTACATACGAGACCTGCTCGTGCGTGTATCCCTTGCCGTCAGGCATCAGGATGGGTCCCTTTGCTTGTCTTGACACATCCCTTCTGCCTAGCTTCTTAGCACCCGCTCGCACTCCATACGGCGGGTCTGTGACGATCGCATCGAAAATTCCAGTCCCGATGCCTTTCCTGAGTGGGCTGTTTGTGATGTCTGCGGTCCAGAGGCCAACAAGATTTTGAGCCAGACCGTACTGCTGGGCAGCGGCATCTATGCCTGTTCGCGCGTTTGCTCCTCGTCCACCAAAAGCGCCGCCTTCCTGCATCGTTGGACCCTCCTTGCCCCTGATCATCCGCCCATCGATATCGCTGCCGCATATCATAGCACCGAATTGAGCACAGGGATAGAGGAGCGATCCAGTCCCCACGAATGGGTCGTAGACAAGTTTGCTTGGCCCGGCCTGAGATGGTGCGAAAGACATGCGCATAGTCAGTCTTGCGCATCTGTAAAAGCTTGCATCAAGGGACACCTACGTACCTGGGCCATGTTGGCTTGAATGATTGCCATCTCCGTCTCCATGCTGGTGTTGCCGATGTAGCCCCGTGTCTTAAGACTCATTTTCTCAATCAGCTCCCTTCCTGTGGGCTCCACCAGGGGTACTCTGTCTCCCACGTGAATAGCCCTGAGAGGCCCACAAGTAGTCCTACCTGCGGGCCCAACATCGGGACTCTCGTACTCCTCAAACCAGCAGAGGTCCAGCACGGGTGTCTTCAGAGAGATGGGACCTGACAGGTCCATCACCTGACCGATACGCTGCACAGTGCTTTGCATCTCGCTCTGGTGGATGTGGCGATTGATGGCATTTAGTGAGACCTTCCACGAGCTGCCAATCTGACGATGTGTTGCGTAGTGGACCGATACCGATTGATCCGCTAGCCTCTCAAAGGCGACCCCGGCATCGAGGGCGCAGTACCAATGGCGGAAAGCAGCTCGGAGCGAGGACAATCTCGCCGAAATAGCATACACTGCTTCGTTGGAGGGCAAGTGGACCAACTGCAGAGCTCTCATGCTCTCCACTGACTCTATCCAGCGCGTGCTGGCGCCATTGAAACCAGGTTCGTCGTCTGTTGCGGCTGTATGCTGCGCCGGACCTGGTCGGACTGCGTCGACGAGTGCGTTTGGGCCCCTGACGAACGCGTAAGGAATTTTGAGAAGCTCCGTCACAGCTTCGAATTCGGCCGTTCGAAAGCCGACATTCTTGACTGCAAAGACCAGCGTAAAGGCTGGCCCGATATCTTCAGGTTTGATGCCAGGTCTGTTCGTTTGTCTGGTGTGAGAAGAGTCGTAGCGTCGTGGACTCGCGTGTACCATGGCCGACTACAGTCGCTCCCCGAAGGATACCTACCGAAGCGATGACACCGCGAGATCTGGACTGACCGCCACCAACACTGATGATATGGGAGGCGAGAGCCCGTCGTGTGCACAGCAGACAAATTCGAGCTTTCGATAAAAGGAGTACCACGCACCTAAAGGTAGCTCACCAATGCATGTCACTAGCAGCAGCATGACCAAATCACTCAAGAATCAAGAACCCTCGAGTCGAATCAAAAATGTAAATCACGAATCAAGCCACAGCCCAAAATTCAAAATTGTTGGGTCACGTGACAGTCTTGGCACGATTGACGGCTAGCAATGAAGGGCGGGGGATATTGTAGTCTCGAATTCATTTTGACAGCGAATTCCACTCAGAACTTGTAAGACTGCGCAGCGGCCCGCGCGCGCATTACGCACGACCGCAAGGGAAACGTCACCGCAAGACGCGCATCCGCGATCGATCGACCTTGCGCTCGAGTTTGCCCTCGCTCCGGCTCGCGTGCCCCTTCTGCTTTTGCTCCTGACCACCACTGCAACAATCGACTTGGCCCAGACCACCTGATATTCGTGTGCGTATCTCAAGGCCTGAAAGCTTTGACGACCCCGACTGCGGCTACAAGGACACAGCCAACTTTTTTCACTACGACCACAATTGGGAGCCTTATCAGCAAGTCGACATAATGGTGAGAGTCGCACATCGTCTAGCTAGCTGGTGGGAGTATCTCAGCTCAGCAGTACGCTCACTTCTTTCTTGCTCTCGTAGCCTCGACCAGTAGCATCAACGCCCCACTTGGTGTGGGCTGCGGGGCACTTCTTCACCCTGTTGGCGGGCCTGAGATATCTGCTCGGAACCATCACCTTTGCGACTAGTGGAGGTGGACTGAGCGCGTGGTACAGGATTGCGTACCTAGGCGCCATTATCAGCTATGGAGTGGTAGTATATAAGAGCTTCGGGGTGAGTGAATAGGCTAGGCTAGGAGAGGCAGAGAACTGCTCGAGCTTCCGCCGCTCGTTTCGCCAGAATGCCCGCAAGTCGAGCCGCTGGCTGAGCGGCTCAAAGAGGCCCAGAGGTGTAGACTGGGTTGCAATGAAGCTTGGGCCTGCCGCAGGCAGTTCTTCGGGGACGCCGTGTCCGAAAGCGAGCCTTCTGCTGACCTGCCCCTTTTTTTGGAATGTCACACGTCAGGTACCGCAAGCCAACAAAGCATACATCCAACGCGCACTCATGGATGAGAATGTGCAGTACCTCTTTCTCGCGCTGTACTGGTGGTTCACTCAACCGATCTTCAGTGAGTACAGCGGCGCCTCTTGCTAGTGCTTGTCCCCTTCAGCTTCGCTCATGCTTTGAGCGTCTCTCCCGTCCAGTCACCTTGGTCCCCTACACAACCTTCTCTCTCTTTCACGTCCTTACCTTCACACGGACGACTGTGATTCCAATGGTGTTTCCCACGTCTCCGGCTGCTTCCAGAGCAGAAGGCGCATCTGAACCAACTGGCTTCCCCACAAAAGTCAGCAAGATGATCCAGGGCTGTAAGTGCCTCTCGATCTTTGAAACGGCTTTGGCCGACACAGGGCAGTGCTGACGCCGCGCGCAATTTGATGGTACTATCAAACAGGGGTCAAGCAAAATTATGACCCCGCCATGCGCTTCGTAGCCTACTCCGAAGTTCTCGTATTCGCTCGTGTCACCTTTGGGGCCATCTTGCTTCGCAACAGTCTGCTGGCTCCGCTCTTCTACGCGCACTTCTGCAGGCTGCGTTTTTATATGAGCTCTTTCACCCGGGATGCTTTCCAGCACGTGTCCAGCGAGCTTGATAAGGCCACAGCAAACCCAAGCTGCCCGGAGCTTGTCCGCAGAGCTTACTTGATGGGAACTGACTTGGTGAGTGTCTGTGAAGCCTTGCATGGCACTAGACGCCTGAGATAATCTGGAAAGGCAATCTGCTAATCAAGGTGCCCCTCTTGATTCTCACAACAGATCTCGCGCTACGCTTCAACTGTTCTGAACTTGCAGAACCAGGCAGCACCAGCAGCTGGAGGGGCACGTCCCGCGGCAACTGGTGGTGCGACTGCCCAGTGAACACTTCAGTCACCATACAAGCAGTGGATTTCATCTGAGCGCATACATGCACTCGATCGAGTCTAGACCCTCGAGTCATCAGAGTCACAACAAGCCTGGCTCGGGCGATGTGCATGGAGGAAAGAGTGAATCTCGCTCGATTGCCTCCACGCTCTCACTTGGACTTCTGCAAGCGGAAGTCTCCTCGCGAGCCGAACCTGTATCACTATGCCATGATTGCCAACGCAAGCGTCGAACACAAAGTCCGGCATCGCTCCCGCGGCGCTTTCAAGCTTCTTTTCTCTTCAAAAAATTGACAATCTTCGTTCTCGCCTGTGACATGTCTGTGCCCAATCTGACGATGCGACTCCCATTCCCCACCATCTTCACACCCTTTGATCCGACATTGTGCGCACTTCCACATGGCGCAGTTTGGGCAAGCATTGCAACGACGCCATTACATTGCTCTAAAAGCTACCTCGGGCGACCTGCGGGAAGCGGCGAAGGGGATGACGGCCTGCTTGAGCTTCTGTCCTTGAACTCTCGCACGATGATGCTGCAGTCCGTCCCGTCGCACAAAGCCTTGGAGACCTGTTTGATGTGATCCGGGAAGAAATTGACCCCTGAAGCTTTTTCGACGCTCTCGACTGGCACGATGAAGTTCCGGAGTGGAACTTCGTTTGGAATGATGGCGTTGGGAAGAACGAAAGCTCCAAGCAGCGTTGGGCCCCTGCCTGATACGAAAGATGCTGTGAGATTAGTAGGTGATGGCACCCACGGGCTTGGACTTGAGGGAGCTGGCAAGGCGGCTGGAGCGCTCTGCGTCCGTGCCGGGACAGGCAGACCACTCGCCAGTATCACCTTGGCAAAGTGGGTGGGCACAGCAACGTTTGGAGGTTCTCCAATCACTTCGTAGGTCACCCGATACTTTCCATCTAGATCCTTGCGTGGTAGGTACAGCGGCACCGTGAAGACGTACACGTCAGCGAATCTGCCAGTCAATCTCCTTGTAAAGTCTTCGAAATGAGCCCAATAATCGCGATTGAATCCTTCGCCTACTTGGGGAGCTATATTGGTCAGGTAAAAAGTCTCGTCCATTGCTGTTTGAGACGACTTGGCATCGGCTGCTGGAACCATGTGACCCCTATCGTATCCTGATCTGAAGTAATCTGCCATGCGAGCACGGAACGGAAGAGGAATGCGAGGGTCTTCCTTGAACACCGAGCGCGACCGATCGGGAGAGCCGGTTGGTGGTGTTCCCGGTACGACGGGAGGGCGCTGAATGGAGGTCGCGGTCAAGTGCTCTGCTGTCCAGCTGGGATGTCGCAGTCGTCGATCGTAGGCCGAGACGTAAGCAGCGTGGAACAGCAAATCTGAAGTGGGTGCTGCTCATGACCGCGCACAAAGAACGGTCAGCTTGTGCGCGCTCGCCTCTTTGCCTCTGCGGCTTGTCCTACTCACCACTGGCACCCCACCAACTTCGCCTCGCAAGCTGAAGCGCTGTGTCGGGCGAGTTTGAAGTTGCTTCACTTGCCGCAACCGCAGAGACCATCGCCTTTTCCTTTCGCTTCATTTCATTCCGTTGAATTGCGGAAGCTCCTACTGCACCCAGAGCCACGCCGACGCCGAACACGCCTATTGGCAGAGCCAAGTGCGACATGACGAGCTCTTGAGGAGAGGTCCGCTATGACCTGGTGGACACATGCACTTGCGAGGTCAGTCGTCAAGCCGGATAGACGCGCATTGGATGGAGGAAGGGTTGCC